CTATTCTATTCTATTCTATTCTATTCTATTCTATTCTATTCTATTCTTTATTCTATTCTTTATTCTATTCTTTATTCTACTCCACTCTATGTTCTGTTCTGTTCTGTTCTGTTCTGTTCTGTTCTGTTCCGTCCCGTCTCATTCCATTCCATTCTAAAGTCACTTGGTTCTAATCAGTTCCACTTCCCTCAGACTCCCTCATCCCCATAAGACCCTAAGTGCTAAGATACTACCTACTTATCTTCTTCACACAACCCAGTGTACTTTTGTATAGAGGTTGTTGCCAGCTCTTAAAGGACCAAACAAGACCTCCAACTCCCTATTGAGAACTTAAAAAAAGTCTGAGCTTGCGTTTGTCTGAAATACAGGCAGCCCTTGAATTATAACCATTTGTTTAGTGACTGATCGGAGTAACAATGGCACAGAAAAAAATAACTCAAGATAGTTTTCACACGACCACTTGACTAATTTAATGACTGAAGTGATTCAACTAGAAACTGTGGCAAGAAAGGCTGTAAAATGGGGCAAAACTCACTTAACAACGGTCTCAGCAATTGGGACTCAGTTGTGGTTCATAAGCTGAGGACTCACTTCTCCAATACTGGTATGTTCCTTTTTTTTATTATGGGGCAGGAAAAGATGCCGTACAGCTGTATTTTTGGCTTTGTAGCGCCCTCTACAGGGACTCAAAGGTACTACATTCCCCCATCCTCTTAAACCACCATTTAATCAGGATCTCTTGAATAAGCCAGACCACACTAGCCATCATTTACCAGCCACAATAGGTGTTGTCAAAACGAAACCGCGTTATACTTCTGTGCAACAATAACCTAGAATTATTAAATGGTTAAAAAAAAAACAAAAAAATATATAATCAATCAATAAAACAAAAACTGTTACATTGTTCCTTTTCTTCTAAATGTACACTTGGGTGCCTTTCCCAATTTTGCATTCTGCAAATTTCATATGACAGCATTTATCAACAACTTTAAGATGGGTGGACTTCAACTCCCAGAATTCCCTATGCAGGCTGGGGAATCCTGGGAGTTGAAGTCCACCCATTTTAACTTTGCCAAGTTGAAAAACACTAGTATATTCTAATTCTGCATGTTTTCTGGTCTTTTTAGCTTGTTTCTTACTGACTTTTGGGTCTAAATATCCACCCTTTCCAGGAAAAAGGCTAATTATCATTTAGAAATAGAAATACAATAATGGAGTTGGAAGGGACCTTGGAGGTCTTCTAGTCCAACCCCCTGCTTAGACAGGAAACTACACCACTTCAGATAGTGGGTTATCCAATCTCTTCTTTAAAACTTCCAGTGTTGGAGCATTCACAACTTCTGGAGGAAAGTTGTTTCACTGATTAATTGTTCTAACTATCAGGAAATTTCTCCTTAGTTCTAAGTTGCTTCTCTCCTTGATTAGTTTCCACCCGTTGCTTCTTGTCCTGCCCTCAGGTGCTTCAGAGAATAGCTTGACCCCTTCCTTCTCTCTGGGGCAGCCCCTCAAATACTGGAAGACTGCTATCATGTCTCCCCTGGTCCTTCTCTTCCCTAGACTAGCCAGGCCCAGTTCCTGCAACCGTTCAGTGTATGTTTTAGCCTCCAGTTCCCTAATCATCTTTGTTGCTCTTCTCTGCACTCTTTCTAGAGTCTCAACATAGAATCATAGAATAACAAGAGTTGGAGGGGACCCTGGAGAACATCTAGTCCAACCCCCTTGCTCGAGCAGGAGCCTCTACCTAGGATCAAACTCACAGCCTCCTGATTGTGAGGCGAGACCTCCACCTCTAGGAAACTTTGGGGGGCTCCTAATTTAAGAGAAAACCAAGATAACCACAGGCAGGCCTTTAAATAATAATAATAATAATAATAATAATAATAATAATAATAATAATAATAATAATAATAATAATAATAATAATAATAATTATAATTATAATAATTATAATAATTATAATAATTATAATAATAATTATAATAATTATAATAATTATAATTATAATAATTATAATTATAATAATTATAATAATTATAATTATAATAATAATATAGCATGAGTGGGAATGCTGTCATGC